TACTTAATGCATGCAAATATAAACACAGTTTGTGAACAAACGAATAGACTAAACTGGTTTGGCTGTAGACAGTAATGGCGTTAGACCACGCACATCAACTTGAAGCTTAACCCCAACACATGCATTTACATTAACCGATAGCGTAAAGGAATATATTCAATGAGTAACAGCAGAACACTCGCGCGAAATAGCTGCCCAATGAGTAATAAAAATATTATTTTTAGTTGAAGGCAAAAATATAGCTGCAAGTTTCGGCAACTAAAGCACTTCAAACCCTCTTCGATCCTGCTAATAGGAAAATAGTTGGAGACATGCAAGTGTGTCGTAGGTATTTATGGAATTGTCACATTGTGCTACATAATTCACGTCATTGTGAAGAATGACAGATATACTAGCTATACTCCTACACCATCTCGAGATTTCTAAACTGGTTTGATGCAGACCTATGCGGTAAAGTTACATTTCTCACACTTTATTGCCATTGTTCACACATTTTTTTTGCTGTTGACGATATATAATAATCAAACCCAAGTGTAAGTTTCTATAAATGGTGAAAAATACTGTCTCGTTCCTATGAAGACATAATAATTCGATATATATTCTCATTGCTATAAAAAGACTACTTTGCTTGGATATTTTTAAGGGTTTTGGTTAGTCTCTCGTCTCTATGGAGATCGAGATGGAGACTGAAAAATCCGACATCGCCACATAGTGTTGGAAAAAGGAAATTCTTACGTAAAAAAAATCCGAATTCTTTATTAGTTAATTGCTAGGCAACTAATACTATCGACCAGAGTACGATAAGTACCTTACATGCGTAAGCATTTATTGGGTTTAATTTCCATTCTGTGATCATTGCTTTTGTCACGCCACTGATTGCGATGCCGCCAACTGGATCGTAGGGGTATACAAACGTGAGGTAAAGGTCAGTGTATGTAATTCTTGCAGACACTTTCCAGATCTGATTACTCCGTCACAAGATGCTGCATAGCTTTCTTAATTGTCCCATAATAACCATAATTTGGTAAATACGATGGGCGCCAACTCTAATAATGGCCGTGAGGAATGTTCGTGGCCTTCGACTGTCGTCATCAGTGGCGGCTCGGAATGTTATTGATTTCATCATAAAGATAAAATAAATCATAATTTTATTCCATTGAGCATAATTAAATCGATTGAATGCCTAATACCTATCTCCAAAAATTAGCATTTATTAGGAAACCTTCTAAATATGTAGTTGAATGGTTGGAGGAGAAGATTTTTATTGATTGTAATATATAACACACTTTAGTAACGAAAACTAGGCTCAAGCCACTTTCTCAGAACTGTCGCTGGCGCAACAACTTAGTTGGAACATATCGCTTGCTATAGAACATGTTTTCGTGAATCAGTCTATTATAGGCTCGGTCGTGCAAAATTCATTCAACAAATAATGTTCTATTGAACACTAAACTACCCGATTCTACCCGAACTGTTAACCGCAGTTCAAACTGGCTTGCGTTCAGACTTTAGATGAACCAAATGTTAAAGGGGCTAATTAAAAGAGACACTACTACACTACGGAAGCCCCCGTCATAGTTACGTCCATGCTTTATGCATTGGAGATGGGTGTGTGTTTACGTTCGAAACAAGAATGTGAATGTGTAATGCGCGTGTATGGGTTCCGCTAGCTATGTGTGTGTTTTGTTTGCTTTAGAGAGGAGAACGAATTCTAAACGTATTGCGCTTGACTCATGTTATAGTGAATTATTAACATGTTTGCCATATAGACTGACCGCAATTAATAAATAATCAGTTGATTATTCGTCACTGGCTTAGTTATTAAAATACCATTCGGAATTTTTGTTTCTCCTATGGCTCAGGTTTTTCCTCTGGGCGTTCCTTTTTCGTGAAGTCAATAATAAAAACTATAATTAATAATAATAGCATCCAAGACCTTTTTTTGATAGCGCAGCACAGCATTACAGAATGAACCTTACTTTGAGGGATGGAACTCTCTAATTAAAATCGAGAGATTATTGGTAAAGTGATTAGTGATTGGAAATATCATATTGCCTACTCTACTCTAGCTTGGTGTTTTATACGCAACCATCTGCCTCAGGTATTAATTATCCTTTGGTAACTATAATCTATCCTCCCTTTTAATTTCATTGTTCATATAAATAATATTTTGGAGGATAGAAGTCGAAAGTTATTTTCCTTTCATGTTTGGCTGACTTACATTAGTAATTGGGGTGTCCCATATGGCAATAGGTGATGTTTCTTCCTCGTATAGTGTTTTCTATAATAAACGATTACATTTGGCAAATTGCTCCTTGTTTTCAACTGTTCGTATTAGTTCTTCATAATTCAATAGCCCAATGACGAGAATTTCTTGCCCATTCCACCCCATTCCACCATTCCTTTGATCTGGTCCTTCACAATTAACTGAGGTAGATGGCAATTTTTCCAAGAACTTGCTAACGTTTCGCCAATCATCCTGTTGGCTGACACTGTTTCAGTTAAGTTCTGAAGAAGTCAGTATAAAAGCCAACATCATTGGCGAAACAACTGACACAGAAGGTATCCAGAAGTTTTGTAAATAGTTTGAGGTATATGAAATTTATTGCACGGAATGTGGCCCACATACGGCTTTACCAATTTTTTTTTTGTTAATTTTTTACATCTATTTACAGTTTGTTCTACCACTTATATTGACCCATCGATTCATGGCAGAGGTTGTACCTTTAAGTTCCAATGGGTGTTATAAATGTTTTGTTATCTTGACATTTTCGTAATTTTTGTGTTGGTGATGGAGATCACAATCCGAATCTGCTGTATCGATGATATATTTCATACTAGATATCATTACTCCACTGATTCTTTGATCCTGTGTTACATTCGCGAATGCTTTCTTGAACATCGCTTCAGAATGAAGGTAAAATGGACAAGGCGAATGCCCATGTTCATTTTGGTATTTTTACGGAGAAGGTATATAAATGCTGCGAGAAATGTTAAACCCCTGAAAATTAATATTCAGCTGGAATCGATATACAGGTTCGCACGGCTGGATTCAAAGCTGATAACGTGGGTTACTTCGTCGTCTGCCTCGTTACTCGTGTTCAAAACTAGTTTCGCCGTTTTCGTGTTTAGTAATTTTCGAGACAATGGCCGCGCACTTAACTTGATCAATGAATCGAGCGCGCGCATGTGAACATTTCAATTCAGGACGCTCGATATTTTTAATTCAGCGGCGAATCTTTGACATACAAACACTTTCCATTTTAAGAACGTTTACCGTATACGGAGCGGTCGTTGTGCAGTTTTTGTCAAAAGGGTAACGGTGCTTCAGTAACGATCGATTTGGTATCGTCTGCGGTTTGTTTTTCTTGCGGGTCCCTTGTGTGTAGGAATTAGAAAGAATTCTGCTCGGAATTCCGTGTTAATGGCGAAACAAGTTTCCTAAAAACACCAGCGACGAGTTGTCTAGTAAAACCGACAATAAAAGGCCGTAGAGGCATCTTCGGTTTTAATTTTAGATGCCGTGAACGACAATTCCACTTTGTTCATCACAGTCATCGGACTGCGCAGAATCATTCTTATTTTTAATTTTTATTCAATTCTTTTACCTTTTAAATTAAGAAAATTAATTAATCCATAACATGTTTGTTCGCGTCCCTCAAAAGCAAGATAAAAATCCATCGCGAAAAGGAAAACTAACCAAAACTAATAGTACGAATCGAAGATACATTCGTAAATGGAGAGTTTATAAGATATGAATGCCGATAACTTCGGAGATTACTTTGGAGAAATGGTAAAATATCCTTCCACTGACTCAGTAGTGGTTATTGGTATCGCCAGCCTTCATTCACGTCGCATAGAAAAAACTCAAACAAAAATTTCGTGGAAGATATGAAAGAAGAACAAAATATTTCTATCCTGCTCATACCAAGATGGTGGCAATCTCTATGAATGAAATCCAACATGAACCCAATTCACAAGTGAAAGGATTGGTCGCTAGAAGAAACATAACTTCTAAGGTGAAAGACGTAAAGTTGCTATTCAACCCAGCCATTATGGAAAATACCCCAAAGAAGAAAATTTTGTTAAACGGGTAGACCATTTCATCCAGATATTTTTATCTCTCGAGGGAAACAATATTACTCAGATGAGAAAGGAATACGAACATATAAGTTGCATCCGATCATATTTTGATACCCATATACAGACTTTATTGTAGGGTTTGTGCTATTATTTTATTCATTTAATTTAAGAGAAGATCCTCGCACCATTTAGAGACGGAGTATAATTAATTTGAGATAACTCTGTGACACTCTTTGGATAATATTTCAAATTGAATTGAATGTTTTTTGACAGACCCGTGCTAACACAGTCAGAGCATCAATTGAGGACAGAAAAACATACGTGTTGAAATTGATGCACCGCTAACAACCGTTTTATTTTGTCGCCCATGAAACGGCGACAATGTTGCGTTGGAAACGATCTTAATCTTGCCAAGAAGGTTCGGGAAAGGCACCACCGATTTCTTCGAAAAATCAGCAAATTCATTTCAAGGCGAATAAACATTGAAAATTGAAAAACGAACTGATTATATCTAAAAATTATTTATCAACTTATTATTGTAGTTAATAGATCGATTTTGTATATGTTTGTGTTTATCTTATTTTATTAAGTTGAATTTTTCGATTAGACTATATAATACAGGGGGATCCATTCCAGAACTTCATTTCTGCTGCTAGCAGCAAATTTTTTATCTAAACGGTGTTACTTTAGATGCGCAGACCACGCAATTTTCAGAGTACGAGCGATATAACTTTTGCTATTGTCACTGTTCAACATTCTTCAGAATAGTCGTGTACTTAGCCAACATCGATTATTTTGAACCGGAATCTATTCATTTTCTACAAAATAACATTGTTTTACTGATCTAGTGATGACAAAATAAACAAAGTTGCAATTGATTTGTATGTAATAACGATAATAATTTTGATTTGTTTTAGGTGATTCCTGGGCGGCCCGTCGTTACCGGCGGCACCCCCTAAAGCGATGAGCGGGTCATGCGCGCCGGCTTGTGCACGGTGAGCGCCCCCCTGGCCGCGTGCAGCCCGGCACCAGCCCTACCGCCATCTGCCCGCTTCCTGGCTCTTCATTTGCTGCACCAGCAGACCCTTTATTTCGTCGTTCAGGCCAAATCAAGAGTACGGGAGCTCTATCATCAAACATGCAGGCACTTTGCCCAGCAGGGCATGCTGGATACCGATCTGTTCGGTTTGGCCTTAATTTGTGGTAAGCCTTCAAAAGAGTTTCTGCATAGCGCATCGCCCATTCCGCATTGACTCCTCCGATAATCTAACTACAAGTTAATAACAATAATAGCACTCAACATGTCGCTTACATTTTTTTTACTATTACTTTTTACTTAAAAAAAATACATGCAGGAAGTTCTAGATTATTACTACAATTAAATGTAGTAAAATTGTTTTTCTACTCCCGTCGGTAAAATACCTAATTACCCACCGATCTAGCGTGCGGGAAGCGTCACTTTACCACGCCAGTTTCGTTTCCCATGAATCTGAGCTACTTCGGACATTTCCGGGATTTGACGGCACGGATTTGGTAGAAATCGGATGTTTTCGGAGATATTTCCCACGCTTGCAATTTTGAAGTTTGTCCATTCTGACGGTGATGTCAGTGAATGTATTCGTGTTGTTTTGCGAAAAAGTACCCAAAAACTAACATTCGTAAAAAAAGTATAGTATGCAACACGTTTGGTAAACTTTTTAAGTCAAATGCCGTTTGCCGCACTTGTTGCATAACATTGTATTATAGAAACAAATTAATTATAAATTGTACATCGTGGTATGTTCAAGTTATTTTAAAATTGTGTTTTTGAAAACGCAAAACAATGTGCCAAAATTTACGAACCTTCGTGATATGTCCGCTATAACTTACCGTGTACTAGACCTTAGTCCCCCATCCTTAACTGGGACACCCTGCTTGTAAAAATGAATAATGGCCCCAATAGAAAACCTTGAGACACACCTTAAAAAAGAAAAATGGATAAACGCTAGCCATCGGCCACCAATAGACTAGTTGACAGTGGGAAAAATATTATATTAATATGCTCGTAGATTATGGGTTTTACTAACAATTTACATTAATCTGATTATCTATGATGAAATAGTTAACGCAGTATTAAGTATTACATTTTAACAACGAAATACTCATAAATAATAATAAATTGTTTATCCACATCGGAATGTTCTTCAACGAAGATATTACATAAATATAATCAGAATTTCTACAAGTTCTTCTGGATTCCTCCGGGGTCGGTTGTTGATAAAATAAATAAAATCATCATGGTGACTTCTTCAGAGTCTAACTGAAACTGGTGATTGGCGAAACGTCAGCAATTTTGATTTATCCCGAAGATTTGTAAATAGTATTACAGTAGGCCGTGGAAGTTTCCTTAAAAAATATATAAATTACTTATATAATTCAAAAAACCTCTGCAGAAACGGAGCCATAGCGGATAAAGTGAACATTTGTAAACAGAAATTTGAATTTACTGTTTGCATGTTTCGGTCTTTTAATATTTTTTATTTATTTCTGAGATCAGGTATTTTTTTACTCTTTGGGTACTTATTTAAAATACTAACATTTTTTCTACGGATTCTTAGAAAAACAGGTGTTCCGAAACATCAATAAAATGAATGAAATAAAAGCGAATATTCAAATTTGAAAATTAAAAGATCGACAGCAGTGGAATTAACGAACTATGCGAACTGTCAACGTCCATGTTGGTTGTTCAACGCAATGTCCAAAGATGGCTTTACCAGTATCCGCAGCAATACAAGGTGCTTCAAAACAAATGCGAAAAATTTAAGGGAGTGATTCCTTGTTCATTCTCGATGGTTGTTTGTTATATGAATATTGGGTCCATTGGGGGCACATTGCGTTACAAATATTGCGCAAAAATAGTTTTGAAGAGATTTTTTTTCAAAAACGAAAAGAGGTAGGACAACAAAATTGCGAAAGTTATTAAAAAACCCACTTACGTAGAACATGGAGAACAAGAAATTTTAATCCCAATCAACGCTACTTATTCTAACAAATTGAAGCAATAAATAATTGCCGATAATACATTACTTTCTTTTTTAGGATGAAAAATAAAACCTTAATTTTTCTGCTATATTTGTGGCGTCGTATCTCGCAATCGTTGAGTTTTGAGCCAAGGTTTATATAATAAACTACCCTTTATTTTGAACCAAGAATCAACCCCTTCACATCTGTATCCAAATACCTTGTAAAATTAGCAGCTACAAATATGCCACAGTCACCCTAAATAAAAGCGTCCCGATGAAAAAATCCGAATCAAAATCCGGTCGTTCCGGGACGTTATTAAAGTGTGGAAAGCTGCGCAGATGGCAACGCACGCCTCTGTTTCTCGTCCGGCATTCCTTAATACCTGATCCTCGCCTTGTGGCGCGGTTTGTACCGGCCCGAGCCGCATTCCGCGGTTATACAAATGATCCAATCCCCCTCCCGACCTCGCACCACCCCGCGAACGCGGCTACCTGTCTTAACAGCGGCGATGCATTGTTTTTTTTTTGGTCGTCGCCAAGTTTTTGGCCGCGGGCGGCTGCCTTCATTTTTTATTGACCTGGGCCTGGATGTGTACGTGTGTGTGTGTTTCCACTATAAATTCCTTCTCGGGTTGTGCGGTTAAAGGCTTGGAGAGAGGAAGAAAAACGCGTAAAACTCAGCCGGTTGTACTCCTATTATTGGAGTTCCAAATTTGACCGGTATGGTTTGGATATTAATATCCAAAAATTTGCGAAAAGAGCGATTAAAAATGCCTTTTGCATATTGCTCCCCTACTGTGTTTAGAATTCAAAAACGGTATAATGAAATTTTTATTAGGACCTGTTTCCTAACTGCGAAGCAAAAGTGAAAATTTTTCAGTTTTAAAAATTTACATCATTTTAGTTTCAGTTGCACTTTAATTATTTGTGTTACGGCCCTGTTTTGGTTAAAATATAATTATAAAGTGTAATTGATGATTATAAAAGTGAGTAAGAAGGATATCAGAAAAAATCGAATAACAAAAAACAAAAATGTCGACAAAAATCTATAAGATTTTTGACAGTTAAAATATCGGGAAGTATCTAAAACGGATACAAATGATGCAACAACACTATTGGGCCGGTATTTAAGATGAAAAAGTGGTTTATAAAATAAAAATATTTTTCACATGTAAAAATACATGGCAAATTTTTTAAAATTTTCCGTCAAAACCTTCCCTTTTTGCGTAATTTCAATCCCCTTGAGCTATCAATAGCGGATTCACTCTCTTTTCATCTTCACACCTATTTTTTTATCTAGCGTCCAGTCATTTACCACTGTCTAAAATAGTGCTTCTTCCTCTTGTTCCAATTATGCAGAACTTCTTACGTTAGTACTAAGTCCTGTGTTTCCGTCTATGCTTTTCCGCTAGGAATTGGGATTCCTGAAGACCAGACATATCGTTTTAGGTGATCGTAGAAGTGGTTGAGGTGTATTTGGTTTTTAGTCTTTTGCAATTTTAATGGACCGATCATTTGGCATTCTGTCTACGTATTCTCTCCATTCCTTCTTTAGTTTCTTGCTCCTCTTACTAAATCTTGAGTTTCACACACCTCCCTTATTTCTTTACTTGGGGTTGTTGAATTTAAAAAAAGAGAACTTTATGTTATAGCCCATTAACAAAGTAAGATAATCATAATCTGCTAAGGCTATTTTATTCTCTTCGAAAAACTGCCTCAAGAATATGAACATATCTTTTTTGTAAGATGTAAGGTGTAAGAAACAAGAAATATATCAACAAAAATCCTATCAATAAAAAATTGAATTCGTCGATATGGCCCAAATATAAAAGAAAATCACAAATGCTGATTTTTCGTTTAAAAACCCTCTCTTTTAGCCCTAAGTTTTAAAGATACAATGATCTCCTAAAGAATGAAAAAAAAAGTGTTTCTCAAATATTTGTTAGATTAGGTCAAACACTATTTTTGCCTGCAAGGTATTCATAGAGAGGATACGAATACAGATATCAATTATTACTGTGGCTGGCAGGTTAAATGAATTGACCAGGGAAAAAACTCGGTTACCCATTTTGTCTATGTTTAACGATTCTGACGCAGTTTGACCAATTACTGCAAGTGGACGACAATAATAAAACACGCAATCCCAGTTATAACGATAACCGATTAAGAATTAATAAAATTGTTATCGTAATCTCAATGCTTTTAGCAACGTTTTCATTTTTTTGTGTTTTGCTGAATTAACCATCATTTGCAACAAATAAGTAAAATCGCTTTTAATCGAACTAAAGCGTTTACAAAAGATTAAGATTTTTAAGCAACAATAGGTATACCAATAACGAGAAATTTTATCGGGCTCCAATGTAACAAAGTTATGCCTAGACTATAAGAATTAAAAAGGAGGAAATAGAAATGATACAATGTTATTAAATTTATCTAGTATTTTCGCATTGCGAATAAACTGCTGCTCATGGATACTGGAAACCAAAGGGCTTTTAAAATATTTGATATTATCAACATTTATTAATTTGAACTCTTCTTGAAACAAAACTTCATCAGTAAGACTAGTGAATGGACACATATGTGGATCAATAAAAATTCGTTGTGACCCGTCGAAAGCAGAGAAGAATTAGTTGTTGATTTTATAATTGCTGCTCATAATTTTCAACTTCCTACCATCGAAAGAAGGGCATCTGCTAAGAAATGAAAATTAAAGGGGGTTAACATTGGTTAAAAGAAGGTTCAAGAAGGAGCCTGAACAATTTAAACAGTTTTCGAGGATGTCAACAGAAAGTTTTGATAAAATAGATGAAGTAGAGAAAATAGAGATAAGAGAGAGATGCAACTCTCGAATATCAAAATTTAATATTTCCTTATTCATACTAAAAGCTAAAAAAAATAATATATGACATGTGACACTTTTAAGGACGAATTTCTATAAAGACGTTAATATTAGTATATTTATGCAACAAGTGCGGTAAACGGCATTTGACTCAGGAGTTTATTTGACGCCAGCGGAAAGCAGCGGAGCGAGTGTTTAATAAAAGTTTACCAAACATGTGATCATTAGTTTTTAGGTCCATTTTTCATTTCAATGACATGACTGTCAGAATTGACAAACGCCAAGCCATGCGGTAAAATCTACGAAAATATCCTATTGTTCGAAGTGGCTCGGATCCGTGGGACGAGAAACTCACGTGGTAA